AGTGCAGAAACGCAGGAAAAGTCAAGGTTTGGAGCTAGTTTCTAGTCGGTTCAGAAAGGGACGTTTGGCAGTCTGGGATACGGGCCGCGGGCCCAATCCGTCCTTCACTGCCATGGTGTTTTAGCCCTGCGACACGGTCCTTGGACTCCAGCTTGGACCGAAGCGGTGCAGAACGAAAGCCGGCTACAGGAGGACACGAGCAGGGTGGCAGTTGGCAGTGCAGAAACGCAGGAAAAGTCAAGGTTTGGAGCTAGTTTCTAGTCGGTTCAGAAAGTGACGTTTGGCAGTCTGGGATACGGGCCGCGGGCCCAATCCGTCCTTCACTGCCATGGTGTTTAGCCCTGCGACACGGTCCTTGGACTCCAGCTTGGACCGAAGCGGTGCAGAACGAAAGCCGGCTCCAGGAGGACACGAGCAGGGTGGCAGTTGGCAGTGCAGAAACGCAGGAAAAGTCAAGGTTTGGAGCTAGTTCCTAGTCGGTTCAGAAAGTGACGTTTGGCAGTTTGGGATACGGGCCGCGGGCCCAATCCGTCCTTCACTGCCATGGTGTTTTAGCCCTACGACACGGTCCTTGGACTCCAGCTTGCACCGAAGCGGTGCAGAACGAAAGCCGGCTCCAGGAGGACACGAGCAGGGTGGCAGTTGGCAGTGCAGAAACGCAGGAAAAGTCAAGGTTTGGAGCTAGTTTCTAGTCAGTTCAGAAAGTGACGTTTGGCAGTCTGGGATACGGGCCGCGGGCCTAATCCGTCCTTCACTGCTATGGTGTTTTAGCCCTGCGACACGGTCCTTGGACTCCAGCTTAGACCGAAGCGGTGCAGAACGAAAGCCGGCTCCAGGAGGACACGAGCAGGGTGGCAGTTGGCAGTGCAGAAACGCAGGTAAAGTCAAGGTTTGGAGCCGCAGAACGAAAGCCGGCTCCAGGAGGACACGAGAAGGGTGGCAGTTGGCAGTGCAGAAACGCAGGAAAAGTCAAGGTTTGGAGCTAGTTTCTAGTCGGTTCAGAAAGTGACGTTTGGCAGTCTAGGATACGGGCCGCGGGCCCAATCCGTCCTTCACTGCCATGGTGTTTTAGCCCTGCGACACGGTCCTTGGACTCCAGCTTGGACCGAAGCGGTGCAGAACGAAAGCCGGCTCCAGGAGGACACGAGCAGGGTGGCAGTTGGCAGTGCAGAAACGCAGGAAAAGTCAAGGTTTGGAGCTAGTTTCTAGTCGGTTCAGAAAGTGACGTTTGGCAGTCTGGGATACGGGCCGCGGGCCCAATCCGTCCTTCACTGCCATGGTGTTTTAGCCCTGCGACACGGTCCTTGGACTCCAGCTTGGACCGAAGCGGTGCAGAACGAAAGCCGGCTCCAGGAGGACACGAGCAGGGTGGCAGTTGGCAATGCAGAAACGCAGGTAAAGTCAAGGTTTGGAGCTAGTTTCTAGTCGGTTCAGAAAGTGACGTTTGGCAGTCTGGGATACGGGCCGCGGGCCCAATCCGTCCTTCTCTGCCATGGTGTTTTAGCCCTGCGACACGGTCCTTGGACTCCAGCTTGGACCGAAGCGGTGCAGAACGAAAGCCGGCTCCAGGAGGACACGAGCAGGGTGGCAGTTGGCAGTGCAGAAACGCAGGAAAAGTCAAGGTTTGGAGCTAGTTTCTAGTCGGTTCAGAAAGTGACGTTTGGCAGTCTGGATACGGGCCGCGGGCCCAATCCGTCCTTCACTGCCATGGTGTTTTAGCCCTGCGACACGGTCCTTGGACTCCAGCTTGGACCGAAGCGGTGCAGAACGAAAGCCGGCGCCAGGAGGACACGAGCAGGGTGGCAGTTGGCAGTGCAGAAACGCAGGTAAAGTCAAGGTTTGGAGCTAGTTTCTAGTCGGTTCAGAAAGTAACGTTTGGCACTCTGGGCTACGGGCCGCAGAACGAAAGCCGGCTCCAGGAGGACACGAGCAGGGTGGCAGTTGGCAATGCAGAAACGCAGGAAAAGTCAAGGTTTGGAGCTAGTTTCTAGTCGGTTCAGAAAGTGACGTTTGGCAGTCTGGGATACGGGCCGCGGGCCCAATCCGTCCTTCACTGCCATGGTGTTTTAGCCCTGCGACACGGTCCTTGGACTCCAGCTTGGACCGAAGCGGTGCAGAACGAAAGCCGGCTCCAGGAGGACACGAGCAGGGTGGCAGTTGGCAGTGCAGAAACGCAGGAAAAGTCAAGGTTTGGAGCTGGTTTCTAGTCGGTTCAGAAAGTGACGTTTGGCAGTCTGGGATACGGGCCGCGGGCCCAATCCGTCCTTCACTGCCATGGTGTTTTAGCCCTGCGACACGGTCCTTGGACTCCAGCTTGGACCGAAGCGGTGCAGAACGAAAGCCGGCTCCAGGAGGACACGAGCAGGGTGGCAGTTGGCAGTGCAGAAACGCAGGAAAAGTCAAGGTTTGGAGCTAGTTTCTAGTCGGTTCGGAAAGTGACGTTTGGCAGTCTAGGATACGGGCCGCAGGCCCAATCCGTCCTTCACTGCCATGGTGTTTTAGCCCTGCAACACGGTCCTTGGACTCCAGCTTGGACCGAAGCGGTGCAGAACGAAAGCCGGCTCCAGGAGGACACGAGCAGGGAGGCAGTTGGCAGTGCAGAAACGCAGGAAAAGTCAAGGTTTGGAGCTAGTTTCTAGTCGGTTCAGAAAGTGACGTTGGCTCCAGGAGGACACGAGCAGGGTGGCAGTTGGCAGTGCAGAAACGCAGGAAAAGTCAAGGTTTGGAGCTAGTTTCTAGTCGGTTCAGAAAGTGACGTTTGGCAGTCTGGGATACGGGCCGCGGGCCCAATCCGTCCTTCACTGCCATGGTGTTTTAGCCCTGCGACACGGTCCTTGGACTCCAGCTTGGACCGAAGCGGTGCAGAACGAAAGCCGGCTCCAGGAGGACACGAGCAGGGTGGCAGTTGGCAGTGCAGAAACGCAGGAAAAGTCAAGGTTTGGAGCTAGTTTCTAGTCGGTTCAGAAAGGGACGGTTGGCAGTCTGGGATACGGGCCGCGGGCCCAATCCGTCCTTCACTGCCATGGTGTTTTAGCCCTGCGACACGGTCCTTGGACTCCAGCTTGGACTGAAGCGGTGCAGAACGAAAGCCGGCTCCAGGAGGACACGAGCAGGGTGGCAGTTGGCAGTGCAGAAACGCAAGAAAAGTCAAGGTTTGGAGCTAGTTTCTAGTCGGTTCAGAAAGTGACGGCAGTCTGGGATACGGGCCGCGGGCCCAATCCATCCTTCACTGCCGTGGTGTTTTAGCCATGCGACACGGTCCTTGGACTCCAGCTTGGACCGAAGCGGTGCAGAACGAAAGCCGCCTCCAGGAGGACACGACAGGGTGGCAGTTGGCAGTGCAGAAACGCAGGAAAAGTCAAGGTTTGGAGCTAGTTTCTAGTCGGTTCAGAAAGTGACGTTTGGCAGTGTGGGATACGGGCCGCGGGCCTAATCCGTCCTTCACTGCCATGGTGTTTTAGCCCTGCGACACGGTCCTTGGACTCCAGCTTGGACCGAAGCGGTGCAGAACGAAAGCCGGCTCCAGGAGGACACCAGTGCAGAAACGCAGGAAAAGTCAAGGTTTGGAGCTAGTTTCTAGTCGGTTCAGAAAGTGACCTTTGGCAGTCTGGGATACGGGCCGCGGGCCCAATCCGTCCTTCACTGCCATGGTGTTTTAGCCCTGCGACACGGTCCTTGGACTCCAGCTTGGACCGAAGCGGTGCAGAACGAAAGCCGGCTCCAGGAGGACACGAGCAGGGTGGCAGTTGGCAGTGCAGTGTCGTCTCGGGTCTCTTTAGGATGCCATTTAAAGATTCATACTGCGGTTACGAACGGGGGCTTCGGGTATGGGTCTTAAGTGCTAGAGCAACCCTTTAGGTCCCCAAGACACCTGGCCAATGACGAAAGCTCCTATTTCTTGAGCCATGAAAAAGTGTCAGAGCACATAGTTGTGCGTGTCATCCTGCAGGGGTCCATGCTGCTTGCATGTGCACAGTGCCAAACGCACATACAAATGGTTTGTTTAGGTCAGTTTCTGGTTTCTTTAGGGTTCATTTCATGCTTACGACACAGAGGCAGGCATGACCCTCCAGTGTCCAGGGGTCGGCGGCAGAGGGCGTAGCCCTTTAATATATATATCATGTATCCAATTTTTGGATATATAAGTCCCTGTCCCTTCAAATTATTGACTGGTGATGCAAATCGAATCATCCAAACAGATCCAAATCTTCTCACCTCACTCAACTCCTTCACTTTGGGCGCCGGAGTCTTCTTCTGCATCTCTGAGAAACGGAGCATCTCCTCACACCCCGGATCTCACAAAATGGTCGATGTATGTCGATGTGAGAAGGGAATCCAATGGGTCCAATGGGGAGGCGGAGGGTTCCAACATGTTCCAACATGTTCCAACATCCAACAGTTTCACCTGTCACATCCAGCACTGGCGCCACTGCCGAGCGTCAGCTTCCATACGATCCAGCAAGCGACGGGCAACAGTATGTCGAACAGCAGGGTGAGCAGAAATGTCGAAGGGTAGGTTGCCTCCAAAGAAACGCTCTAACGCTCTCTCAAGCTCCAAGGAAAAAAGGAAAGACCATGAAAGACCCATGACAATGTCCAGCTATGTCCAGCTCTTGTGAGCACGTGGTGCATTGTGGGTCAATGACATGCCGATGGTGTGAATCCTGGGCAACCCCTAATAGAATTGATGGATCGCACGTTCATAGCCTCTCGATCAAAGGATTGACTGATTGACCTGCCACCGGGCCTGTGGGTAGGTTGTCCGGCACCTCTCGAATGATGTGCCCGAGATCAATGACCTCCGCACCAGCCATCGTGTAGATTGTGACACCGATTCATTCAAATGGCATTCGGCAACATTGTTAAACTTTTGCGACATCAAAACTCATCATAAAACTCATCAATATCCTTCCATGACTCCCAAGCATGCCGGGAAGATCCAGAATTCATGGCCAAATTCACAGGCTTTCGTGGAGGTTTCACCAAGCCCAGCATGGCCTCCTGCATGGGTTGCTTCGCCAAGGCTTGTAGATCTTGGTCACTGGTGCGCAGCGGGGCATCGCCAGAGATGGCCTGCAGGTCTGCACCAGGTACGGAACCTGGAAGAATCAACTGGTAGGAGGTAGAAATGGATGAAAATGGAGAAAAAACCTATTGAAAACGGAAGTACGTGATACAATGATCAAATGCGAAGATTGGTTGCGACTGTAAGTTTACGAATCACTCGTCCAAAGAAGCGGCAAATGAGTTTCCCGGCACAGTTTCTGCGAAAATCTATAGAGTATTAGTCAAAATTGAAGGCAGACAAGCATGCGCCACGTGTTGATTATCTTTACTATATCTGAGTACCCAATTTTGGTCACGCCCAAGTTTGGTCCATGGCTCCACAAGCTCCATTGACTGCAAGCCTTGAGGGCAGCACTGCCACCCCAGCCCCAGCCAGTGCTCTTTCCACCACCACCGGTAGCAACAGCACCTCAGACGAAGTAACCAATGTGTTGTTTCTTGGCAGCACAGGTAGACTGACCGCACAAAAAAAACATGTTGGGAAATGTGAGTCTCTTTCGCAGATATCCAAAAAGAAGCAATGCAGGGACATCACAATGGCCAGCGGAGGCAAACCCAGGAAATCCCGCAGCTGACCCTGGGCAAACTCAGGTGTGGACTTTGCAGCGCCATGAGAACCCGTTCCCCACATTGCAGGTCCTGACCATTGACATTGGCCGCAAGATCCATCCCCATGTGACGTATAATACCTCTACCTATAAAGCAGTGCCTTGAAATCTCGAAATGATGTACCAAATCCTCCATTTGTACCACACTTGGAGGCTGGGCGGCTATGAAAGGTTTCTGTGCAAATTTGATCACTTACTTTGCTCATCTTTGCTCAACATACCCAGTCCTTGTGTTCTGGAGTCTCGAAAAAAGGCCTCGGCAATTATCCTCTAACATTGTTGACAAGCACTCCGTTGTGCCAACGACTCACGCAACCAGCTACACTAAATCTGAATCTTTGCACTCGCAGTGCTGTGAACCCTGGCCATCCCTGAATCAAACTTAGGACATGCCTTCCCAGATTTTAGTTTTTGTTGGCATTTAAAATCCAGCAACTCCCGCCAATGTCAATCCAATTTAACCTTGCCGGACAGGCTGAACCAAATCATCTCTGATTCAATGGATCTTGGATAGAAATGAGGTTCGTCAACCTCCATGCAGCCCAGCAACGGGCCCAGCGGGAACTCCGCCCATCGGATGGTCTGGCCGTCCTGAAAACCAGATTTCAACTGCAGCAGAACAAGCTTAAATCGTAATGTTTCGGGGTGGAAGCCAAATTGTAATGCAAGTATTCCACATTCCTGGAAACAGGCTGCTTGCCGCAAACCCAGCCTCAGATTCTCCCAACGATGGCGCGAAGACGAGATGAGGACATAAACCACCTGGGCCCATGAAAAACGGCCGCAGGGCCATGTGAAACGCTGTGCACCACAGGATCTCCCAGGGCTCCCATACCATGTTCATCGCCAATAGACTGGAGAACTGGCACCTCCTGACAGGATCTGCAAGAAAAAAAGACCAGAAACTGGTCGTCTTTGGCAACGTCCTCATATGTGTGTATACATAGATATATATATATATACTATGTGTGCATAAATGCATGATACATGTGTTCAGTTATCCTTACATACATACATATGTGTATGTATATATATATACACATTGTATTGCATTGCATTACATTACATTGCATTACATTACATATATTATATTACACTATATTATATTACATTACATAAATACAGAATTATTATACATAATGCATATTCAAAAAAAATCGAGAGGAATCAAGTACAATTATAAATTCTATGCAACTGGTGAGTTCTGATAGATCTTTTCTGGCCTCTTCATCCGGTCGGATACCCATAGCATCCTCCGCCTCAGCCTCCTGCAGAGCTGGCAGGATTCCGATCTCCAAGTCATGCGTGATTCTGTTGCGAACATTTGCGAACAAGTACCTGATGATGATATCATCACCACCACCACCACCACCATCATCATCATCATCATCATCACTATTGCTACACGCCCAGCCATGCAACTCTACTTGTTGTGACTTCAAGTGCTCTGCGGTCCGCCAGTCCCCAGGCAGTCCCCGGCTGTGGCCAGCTGGATCTCAGGCTGCTGGGCCAGCGCCATGAGCTTCCTACGACAATGCGGGTCATACCAAACTGTACCGCATCACCACAGCCATGTCATCCCAAAAGAGTGAGAAATTGAATTGTATGTATATATGATATCTACATGTGTAAATGTATGTGTAGATGTAGATATATATATATATATATGTACAATTATATACATATGTGTATGAAGAGAGAAAGAGAGAGATGGATAGATACATATTGTCAAGAAAGCTGTCATGACAGGGTTTACAAACGATCAACCCATCTCTCATGGCTCAAGGAGAAACTAATTACTTGCGGCCTGATGGCATGTTGCTATTTGGATTCTATCGTTTGAACATGTTTGAACAATGTACGCAACGCTGCTGTTCATCAAGGGCATCATCCAATTGAGACCCTTCCCGGGCGGATCAGGGCCTGTGGACAGCAATCAACTTGGCCTTCCACTGCCGCACAAAGACTACGCGGCGAGGCCGGTCCAGGCGTGGTAGACATTCGCACACCTGGGCACTGTCTTTCGGGCGAGGAACTGGTTGGATGGTACCTTGGTGTCTGCTGTCTCTAGTCCCATGGCTGGCACGGACAGCCCTCAAGTCTTACAATCTATGCGAATCGGGGCCGTTTCATATGTGATGCCAGGTGAAATTTTGCAACGGCCCTCCCAAATGCCTTGCGGCTCCGGCGACAGATGTGTAGCCTGCCCAGAATGAGCCACACTGGATCTTGCATCCAAATCTATGAACTTCTGTGAACTAAGATCAAGGAACACCAAAGAGCACTTCTGGACATTGCAGGACGTCTTTCGTCCAAGGCACAGGGACTGCAGCATACCATGGTTGCGCCCTCCACCGGCCAGTGCCAAGGATAAGGTGGCGAAGGTGTGCTGATGCACAGGATTCACCTTGGCTTGGCCAAAGCTGCCAACAACAATCATTTCGGGAATATATGGGAATAAAGGATGAAGGTAAGCTTCTGTTTATATCAGCTTAATATGGTGGGATTATATGATTATACGACATGATGATATTTGACCTTCAATACTCCCACGCAACACAAGTTCGATAGACTCGGATGCAGGAAAACTTGCCAACACAAAACTTTGAGACTTGATTGTTTTGGGGTGCTGAATAGAATGATTCGTCTTTCATACATGAATTGAATGCTAGTACAATTCAGTTCGTACAATGAAAAATTCTCTCAGTGGATGTCACCATGCTTGGCTCATCTCAACCACATGTTTTTCTGCTGAGTCTAGCGCTGCGCGTGGCAATTTTACACCCAATGACCTGAGTCCACGAGGAAAAAGCATAGGAACCAACAACCATCAAGCGTCAAACCAAGTCTATTTCGCAAGACCCTGACAACAGAAACAGCTTGAAGCAAGGAAGAAAATCTAGCACAACCCTGCGTTGCATCCTCATGAAGCTCGCAATCTGTAGATGACTCGAGTGTTCGTGTGCGCAACACAATCTGAATTAAAAAATTTGCTTTAGGACTTTAGGTGTTATGGTGAAATGTCAGCAAATCTCGGACCCTCTTGCCTCCTATTTTCTTATGCATAGCAGACAAACAATTGTCTCCATATTTGGAGAATCTACGACAGGAGCGTCACACCATATTTTGCGGCAAAATGCTGTGTAAAGAGAGAGTAGAGCTTGATGAAGAGAGACACGGCACCATCGCTGTTGAAAGACCTTGGTGCATTGTAGCCAAGGTACGTGGCGTCCTTGAAAAGAAAGCACAATTGTGCCAGTAAACACTAAACTCACCAAGCCAGGAATATCCAGGAAATCCAAACAATGCCCGGAGGTCCCGAAACGGATCTCATTTCATTCCAAGCCCGCGACATTTCGCTATCATTGCAGATCTCCGTGATGTGTTCCACCTGGCACTTCGACCATCTCCAAGGTACCAGGCTCCCACGGTGTTCCACGGCGGTGCAGCCAAGGAACAGCCATGACGTATGGCATATTTCGCATGGTCGGCACCTTGGAGGCTTCAGGGGAGAACTTCAATGGGCACAAAGATAGATTCTCCATGTTTTTCCAAAGTTGGGAATGTAAAAAGTACTCAAACCATCCCATGTCCATGCCATGTAATGTGTGTATGTAAACATATGTATTTACGTATATATATATATATATATATTATATGTGCATGTATATATATATGTAAATATATACATGTGTAATTGCATAAATATGCATAAATATGCGTGTATACTATGTGTGTATGTGTATATATATATATACACATAATAGCATAGCACATGTCTAACATCGTCCACATCGACGATGCTGTTTCAGCATCCCACCTCAGGTCCAGTGTCGTAGATAGAGTCCCTCCTTGGCTCATGGCATATCAAAGGTGCGGAGGGCAGCAACTTCACAAAAAAAAAATGTGGGTATTGGTGACCCAAAAAAAAGAGCTGCTAGGACCCGCGCCAGATTTGGTGATGTGTTTTTCTCATGAAAGCATGAGATTTGGGTATTCTGGATAGTCATTACTTTGGGCCTGCTCGTTTTGAATGGGTGTTGCCTCAGGCGAATACCAAGATCGGTTCGACATTCTAATTCAACAATGGTTCTCCTCAACCTGACAAGGAGATCCTTTCTACCATCAGGGGACTCCAAGTGGTGGCTGCAGCACCATCAACCGAGGATCTCTGCATTTCCACCCAAGATCCGTTGCATGAGATCGAAGGGCGAGGACAACAAGGCGTTGATGTCCTCACGAAACAAAGGCAGCCAAGATGGAGAATTGACCAAGAAAGAAATATAAATACCATCAGTTTTAACTCCTGGAAAATTAAAAAGAACATCCGACAGCAACGCATTTTGGTTTCCAGGACATGCATGGACTTGCAAATGCAGGTATATTATACATATACAGTTTATATATATATATACGTATGTATATATGTATGTATATATATATATACGTAGAGAGAGAGAGAGATTGCTGGTCTCAAACCGGCGCTCCGTGTGTTGCATCCATCGTGAGGCCGGAGGCATCTCCATCAATCCCAACACCACGGTGCTGCGGCGTTCCTGGCGTTGCACGGCACAAAACTCGCTGCATGTCACACAGCACCCCCGGGAGATCGCAGCCTCGACGGCATCCATATACCTCTCGCGGTTCTGCAACATCAGGACGTCCTGCACTCAGATTGGAAGTTGACACTGTAGGAAGTCTACCTACAAGTGCATACATGTCTGAAAGTACCGGTCCTTCAAACCATTCCTTAAACACTGCCTGTATGATCCCGAAGAGTCAATAGCCTCTAGATTTACTTCTCTGGATTTTGAAAAGCGCTTGGCAAGGCCACCTGAAAGAGACCAAATACCATCTATCCCAAGAGGTTCATACCAAAGTTTCACGATACCATTCCCCCGTTGTGCACCTCAGGATTCAAACGATCACCGCGAAGTGCTGCGAGGATGAGGGCCACCAGCTCCTTAGCCAACTGTTACTTGGTGACTCTTGCTTGAAGGTTCGGAATAGTAGCCCAAGTTCGCACTACAAGATTCATACTTTTGTGTATATATAATGAAGGGAAATTCTCAAACTATAGGACATTGATACCAATATCAAATCCGGGTAAACTGGCTGGCAAAACACCATAGTAGTTAAATTTCATCACTACAAGAATCACGCAGAAAGCATAAGCACACCGTCCAATTTGAGCTTTAGCCATCCTACAAGGCGTTGATTTTCAGATCGTCGCTTACCCCCATATCAGCATCTAGCGGAGCAATGAAAGCACCCCCACGACACTGATAAAGCACCCCCACGAACTTAGTAACAACAGGAAGAGTTCCATGAGAAGCATGGATACAAGAAAGATATTAGATCTGATAGCGAAATTCCACAGTCGAAGCCAGGGAGGCCAGAAACACGAAGGAATTATTGTGCAGCAGACGAACGAATGAGAGAGATCATTACATTACCCAATTTCAAAAATCATCCAAAGGCTAGAATTGTCCCTGTGGAATGCATAGAAATAATAGTAATCATCATAGTAATCATGATAATCATGAAATCGTGAAACTAATAACAATAGTTATTTCTAATCATAGTAATAATATAAGGAAAAAATAGTAGTTAATGGTACTTATAGTAATAGTAATGATAATACTGATACATAGAAATTAATATGAAATAATTGTGCCAACGGCCTCTGGAGGATGCCCCACTGCGAAAAAAGGCTCCGTCTCGCCAGTACCAAGCCGTTCCGCACGCAAACGCCGAACGATGCGATCCTGCGGAGGCCATTCGCAGCAGTGACGGTTCCAAGTGATGAAACGTTGGATGAAGAAGCTGAGAAGAAGCTGACAAAAGCTCCACAAAAACCGCCATTGGAGTCATGGAAATGGCAGTCTTGACCTTTGTGGACCGTTTGGAAAGAACCTTGTTGACTGTCTCTTGCGAGCTCCAAGCACAATCCTTGCTCCCTAGGAGGTGTGCTGTGCTTCTGAAGCCTCTTATTGTGTCCAACCCTCTGTGATTCGAACCCTCCCAAACTCGAGGGAAGCTTGCCGAACCCAGTCCGCCTTCCATTTCTTCAAGGACTTCGCGTGCTCTCCAGAGGCTGTCAGCATGGCAGTCGGGTCCTGCCGACAGAGCTGTCAGACTCTTCAAAGTCTGAACGATATGAATTGATTTAGATGTGGATATCACAGCTTGTAGCTTTTAATTTCTCTGGCGACTGCAGTGGGGTGACCGACAGAGTCAACTCCCACAAGTGCTTCAAACAACTGAGACAAGTGGGAAAAAATGTGTTTCCAAAGAAAATGCGAATGAGTGCATAACGTCCGACAGTTGGGGTCGAATCCTCCAGCATGTTCTTGAACTTTTTCAGCATCTGCCCCTGCCGACATTGGTCCCAGGTCAACAGGAGAACTAGGAGAACTACAGTACTTGGAGCCTCCTCATTCCCCGGTGCTCCGGTCCTCGTTCCCTAAACCAGCTCATTCGGCAATCAAAATTCAAAACGGCTCTTGGTCATTTTCGGTGCTGCCCATCCATTTCTTGGTGCCCCATTGTCTGGAGTATGTCTATATATATATATACATATCCCCTTGTGCCCTTGTCATTGTCAAAGAATGTGTTTACCTAAACCCGTTTGATCTTCCCACCAGTGGCATTTGTAGGGCCTGGTCCCGGCGCAAGGCGTCCACTTCTCTGGTCACCAGCAGCAACTTCTCACGGTAGTGTCGACACATTGTAAGCACCTGACAGTGGGATCAGCGAACCCTGAAGCCGCCTACTTGGGTCATGTATGTATGTCTGTCTGTCTGTCGGTCCGGCGGTCCGGCGGTCCGTCCGTCCGTCCGTCTGTATGTAATGTATGTAATGTACTGTACTGTAACGTAACGTAACAAAACGTAACGTAACCTAACGTATGTATGTATGTATGCATGCATGCATGCATGCATGTATGTATGTGTATCTGTATAATATGTAAATGTATACATATATATATATACACAATATATATATATACACACGATATATATATATATACACGATACATATATATATATATACACGCTATATATATATATACACGATATATATATATAACGAAATATGTATACATTTATACATACATATATATATATAACGAAATATTATATATATATATGTATACTGTATACACCACAATACTATACTATTCTTGAGGTGAAGTTTCCTAACTGTGGCTGCCCAATTTATTAGTGGCCACTTACCAACTGAGATGAACATCCAAGTACCAACAAAATCCTCCAACTGCCGGGTCACCTACGGGTTACCAACAGAATATCAATTGCACCATGCCCTTCAAAGGACTGCAATGAAAGACAGGAGTTTTGGAAACCATCAAATCATCAAACGCAATCACGAAAAACAATCAACTAAAAATGGACCTGCCAACAAAGGACTGTAACTGCAAGAGTGGATCCAACAAAAAGACGATGAAAATTGATGGAAAATTGGCCACGGTTGGTTCCACCCCCAAGTGAACCCGCCTGCATCTCTTCCTCAAAGCTCAAACGACACTCGCCAGTGACATGGATCACCTCATGGTGTCGGATGGTGATATGATACCCGCACGGGGAATCTAAAATGGCAATCCCCGCACTGAAGGTTTTGATGGGAAAATCATCCATTTTCATATGGGATTTTCCAATGCAATGTTTAATTGCTGGAGGGTACTACTAACCATGGGAAATGGGGTCAGCAAAATACCACCATGCTATCTGATAGAACTGGGAGGGATTCCAACGAAACTGGTGGTTGTGACTCTGGCCGTTTCTGGCACTGTGCCTGAGCAGTTCCTGTGCAACAAACTCAAGTCTCACAGGTCCCATATTGCCCTTCGCATTTGTGGCTTTCTTTTCACTGAAACAAATGATGTCACAAATGCTCTTTCACAGACCTCCTGCTTGCTACACAGCTACAGGCTACGTGTGTTCCATCCCATAAATATCCCATCTCTGCCGTGGCACTCGTCTGACATGCTCTGCACCTGCAAGTTGCGGGAAGATCAGAGACCAGGGGCACAAAATGTCATGATCTCTTCCCAGTGGCAGCGAGACTAAATCAGTTCGGCTCAGGGTCACACTAAGTAAAGTTACTCCAGTTCTTGGATCACATTGTGTATTGTGTATCCTAGAAGCCCGGCCACCAAGTCATATATATATATATCCAAAACTTTTGTCAGCATCTTTTGGTCACTTCCGGCAATTCCCTGGCCACCACCACTTGGTGACCTTGAGAGTACAAATGCCATGGCAGAGGCATTCGCGAGTGTTGTACCTGGACACGAATACTCAACATCTAAGAATCTCCTTTCACACCGAGACTCGCGTACCACCAGAAACCAAGAGCAGGTTTCCAGGTGGGTATATCCGCCGACCCCTGCCGACAGCAGGGGGAGCGCGTCAGAGAAGAGATTACAAGCAACAAGTGTTGTGCAGTGCAAGTGAGGGGCAAGCGAGGGGGGGACAGAAAGGGAAGCCAGGTGCAGAGTAAGAAGCCCAAAAAAGGAAGCGAGAAAGGAGGGGCAGTCTCAGCGAACGTAGCGGGGCAAGCGAGGGGGGGACAGAAAGGGAAGCCAGGTGCAGAGTAAGAAGCTCAAAAAAGGAAGCGAGAAAGGAGGGGCAGTCTCAGCGAACGTAGCAAGCGAAAGAAGCACGAAACAAGAAGTTAGAAGCAAGAATGCAGAAGCAAGAGTAAACGAGCGACAGAAAGTAATGTTTGGCGCTCTGGGCTACGGGCCGCGGGCCCAATCCGTCCTTCACTGCCATGGTGTTTTAGCCCTGCGAGGAGGTCCCTTGACCGGAGCTGTGCCGCACGAAAGCCAGCTGTCAGACAATGCAGGCAAGTTGGCAGTTGGCAGTGCAGGAACGCAGGGAAAAGCTAGGTTTGAGCTGCAAGACGACGCAGGCAAAGTGGCAGGGAAAAGCAAGGTTTGAAGCTAGTTTCTAGGCAGTTCAGAAGGCAACGTTTGGCACCGTGGGCTGCCGGCTGCGGGCCCGATCCGTCCTTCAGTGCCATGGTGTTGGGGCCCTGCGGAGGGGTCCTTGGACTCGAGCTGACGGCAAGACACAGCAAGGTTTGAAGCTAGTTTCGACTTGACCGGAGCTGTGCCGCACGAAAGCCAGCTGTCAGACAATGCAGGCAAGTTGGCAGTTGGCAGTGCAGGAACGCAGGGAAAAGCAAAGTTTGAAGCTAGTTTCTAGGCACTGCAGAAAGCAACGTTTGGCAGTATGGGCTGCCGGCCGCGGGCCCGATCCGTCCTTCACTGCCATGGTGTTTGAGGCCTGCGACAGGGTCCTTGGACCCGAGCTGACGCCAGGAAACAGCAAGGTTTGAACCGGCAGACCTGGTCCGTCCCTCAGGGCCCTGCTGTTTGGCTGTGGCGCAGGCGCCGTTTTGGGTCAGACAGCAAGGTTTTCTTGTAGGTTCAGAAAGCAACGTTAGGCACTCACGGCCGTGGCCCGCAGGCCCGATCCGTCCTTCACTGCCATGGTGTTTGAGGCCCGCGACAGGGTCCTTGGACTCGAGCTGACGGCAGGAAACAGCAAGGTTTGAAGCTAGTTTCTAGGCAGTTCAGAAAGCAACGTTAGGCACTCACGGCCGTTTTTGAATGTTTGTGACGGCCGGAAAGGGCGCGTTTTTGAAGGTTTGACGGCTGGAAGAGAGCTTGTTTTCTTGTAGGTTCAGGAAGCAACGTTAGGCAGTGGGAGCGGTTGCCCGGAGGCTCGGTCCGTCCTTCAGGGCCCTGCTGTTTGGGCGTGGCGGAGGCGCCGTTTGTGAGCCTTGACGGCTGGAAGAGAGATAGTTTGGGAGCCGTTGCCCGGAGGCTCGGTCCGTCCTTCAGGGCCCTGCTGTTTTGCTGTGGCGAGGGCGCCGTTTGTGAGCCTTGACGGCTGGAAGAGCGCTAGTTTTCTTGTAGGTTCAGAAAGCAACGTTAGGCAGTGGGAGCCGTTGCCCGGAGGAGAGAGGGGACGGAACTGCAAAGAAGGGGGAACAAAAGGATAAAGGGCTTCGGTCCGTCCTTCAGGTCCCTGCTGTTTGGGCGTGGCGGAGGCGCCGTTTGTGTGCCTTGACGGCTGGAAGAGAGCTAGTTTGGGAGCCGTTGCCCGGAGGCTCGGTCCGTCCTTCAGGGCCCTGCTGTTTTGCTGTGGCGAGGGCGCCGTTTGTGATCCTTGACGGCTGGAAGAGAGCTAGTTTTCTTGTAGGTTCAGAAAGCAACGTTAGGCAGTGGGAGCGGTTGCCCGGAGGCTCGGTCCGTCCTTCAGGGCCCTGCTGTTTGGGCGTGGCGGAGGCGCCGGTTGTGAGCCTTGACGGCTGGAAGAGAGCTAGTTTGGGAGCCGTTGCCCGGAGGCTCGGTCCGTCCTTCAGGGCCCTGCTGTTTTGCTGTGGCGAGGGCGCCGTTTGTGAGCCTTGACGGCTGGAAGAGAGCTAGTTTTCTTGTAGGGTCAGAAAGCAACGTTAGGCAGTGGGAGCGGTTGCCCGGAGGCTCGGTCCGTCCTTCAGGGCCCTGCTGTTTGGGGGTGGCGGGGGCGCCGTTTGTGAGCCTTGACGGCTGGAAGAGAGCTA